TGCGGTCCTTGAAAAACGAGGACATCTGAGATGTACGGAAGTGGAATGCCTCGTCCTGGGAGCAGATGCAGCGGAGGCGAAGGAGTTGGGAATAGGGGATGGCATTTTTGCAGGAAGGTGGGTGGGAGGAGGTGTATTCTAGGTAGCTGTAGGAGTCGGTGGGCTTGAAATGGATATCGGTTTCTAGGTGGTTGCCAGAGATGGAGACAGAGAGGTCCAGGAAGGAGAGAGAGGTATTGGAGATGGTCCAGGTGAACTTAAGGTGGATGAACTGTTCGAGCTCCTCATGGGAGCACAAGGCAGCGCCGATACAGTCATCAATGTAACGGAGGAAGAGGTGGGGTTTAGGGCCAGTGTAGGTACGGAAGAGGGATTGTTCCACGTAACCTACAAAGAGGCAGGCATTGCTTGGGCCCATGTGGGTACCCATGGTTCATCCACTTCACCGACACCTTCCACCTCAACCTTAAATTCACCTGGACCATCTCCAATACCTCTCTCCTTCCTGGACCTCTCTGTCTCCATCTCTGGCAACCACCTAGAAACCGATATCCATTTCAAGCCCACCGACTCCCACAGCTACCTAGAATACACCTCCTCCCACCCACCTTCCTGCAAAAATGCCATCCCCTATTCCCAATTCCTTCGCCTCCGCTGCATCTGCTCCCAGCTCGAGGCATTCCACTTCCGTACATCTCAGATGTCCTCATTTTAAGGACCGCAACTATCCGACCCCCCCACCCCTCCCCGACTCAGTGGTCGAGAACGCCCTCAACCGTGTCTCCCGCAACTCATCCCTCACACCCCCTCCCCGCAATAACAACCAAAACAGAATCCCCCTCATCCTCACGTACCACCCCACCAACCTCCGGATCCAACGCATCATCCTCCAACACTTCCGCCATCTGCAATCCGATCCCACTACCAAAGACATTTTTCCCTTCCCACCCTTTATCTGCTTTCCGGAGGGACCACTCTCTCTGGGACTCCCTTGTCCGCTCCACACTCCCCTCCAGCCCCACCACACCCGGCACTTTTCCCTGCAACCGCAGGAAGTGCTACACCTCCCCCCTCACCCCCATCCCAGCCCCCAAGAAGACTTTCCATATCAAACAGATGTTCACCTGCACATCTGCCAATGTGGTATACTGCATCCGCTCTACATCGGGGAAACCAAGCGAAGGCTTGGGGACCGTTTTGCAGAACACCTACGTTCGGTTCGCACTAAACAACTGCACCTCCCAGTCGCGAACCATTTCATCTCCCCCGCCCATTCCTCAGACGACATGTCCATCCTGGGCCTCCTGCAGTGCCACAACGATGCCACCCGAAGGTTGCAGGAACAGCAACTCCTATTCTGCTTAGGAACCCTGCAGCCCAATGGTATCAATGTGGATTTCATAAGCTTCCAAATCTCCCCTCCCCCTACCGCATCCCAAAACCAGCCCAGCTCGTCCCCGCCTCCCTAACATGTCCTTCCTCCCACCTATCCCCTCCTCCCGCCTCAAGCACCACCCCCATCTCCTATCTACTAACCTCATCCCCGCCTCCTTGACCTGTCCGTCCTATCTCCTCCCTACCTCTCCACCTGCAGTCACCTTTACTGGCTCCATCCCAGCCTCTTTGACCGGTCTGTCTCCTCTCCACCTATCTTCTCCTCTGTCCATCTTCTATCCACCTACCCCTCTCTCCCCCTATTTATTTCAGAGCCCCCTTCCCCTCCCCCATTTCTGAAGAAGGGTCTAGGCCCGAAACGTCAGCCTTCCTGCTCCTCTGATGCTGCTTGGCCTGATGTGTTCATCCAGCTCTACACCTTGTTATCTCTAATGTTCTGGGGATATGGATTCAAATCCCAGCATGGCAAAATGATTCCCCAAACAGACCCAGGCTGACAGAAAGCATGGACTAGGTTTCTCTACTAAACAAGAATAACAAGTAATTAAACTCCAGGTACGAGTAAAACAGTCATAAACCATCAGCTCATAACACTACAAATTAAAACTCTATTCCCCTCATAAACTCAGTTATGATTTTTGTGCAGGTCAGAACATTTTTTCTCCATCATCCTTCTCTACATGTTTCCACGAGTTTGCAAAAGACACGGGATGGCCATTTCACTTATAAAAAGGGTTCTAACAAGGTGATAAAGACAGAGTCGTAAAGTGTACAGCATGGAAACAGATCTTTCAGTCCA